GCGAGGGCCATACTGGGAGAATATCAGCCTGAGGTCTTGACAGTACAGACCGAGCGCAGCGAGGTCCGTACAAAAAAGACCGAGGGCCGATATTCTTCCAGTACGGTCCCAAGCAAGCTTGCTTAATAAGAGATTTATTATATGACTGAAGTTCAAAGGGACACAAGTTCGGTATCATTCAGGACCATTCGGGACTGTACCTGGTCCAGTACTGAGAGAATATTGACCGGCAATAGAGCATTTTGATTGGTTGAATTTAGTTATTGGCCCTCTGACTGCCCGAGTCGTGTAATAAACTGTCTTATTACCCTGTCTATTAACTAGCATGATGCATGCACTGTCCTATAAAAGCTTGAATCACACTTTTGATAACCAGTCAAGTTTAGGATTCTATTAATAGTCTGAAATAAATACAGTTCAAAGTTGCTTAAGGTTGGTTGCTTATTGGAGAAATTGAGCATGGAGTGTAATAATCATGAATTGGAGTGATGGATGCAATGTGACTACATATAGACTTGTTTCAAATGAATCTACCTAATTTAATGATTAAATTTTGGAGAACAAATGAATCTTCATACAAGTAAACCCACCTCATAGCCAAGTGCTCCTATGTCATGTACACCAGCAAGATCAATTGTTGGCCGTCCAAAATCACTCTGCAAATAAACAGTCAAATCTTTTCAGACTGCATGCCAGGGAAACTATTCACACACCAAATATGAAGAGTGCCCCATTCATGATTTGTAATCTGGTAGTCCCAAGTACAAGGCCTTCGCCTTGCAATTCACTGGATTTGTTCTTGGTTGCCCTGACTTCAAATCCCTGGCTGTGCTTTTTGCAATAGGCCTCCTAGTCTGCTTCATGCAAGTTGGGGTTCTTAACCACTGTATTAACCTTTCTTTACAATGTTTATCTCCAATTTTTATCTGGTAAATACTATCAGAGATATCAGCTACTTATAGCTACTCTGTAAATTCAAGGTAAAATTAAGTCATGGTTGCATTTTTTTTTTTCACAGCATAACAATTGTGTACCTTTTCTTCCTCATCTTCTGAAAGATCATTCATAAAGTTCAGATTTATGTTGTCCCCTAATCCAGTGCTTAGCGTGATTGTTCCACTACCATCACCAACTCCACGTCCAAACTTTTCTTGATCTGTTGACTGTTTCTTGTTTTTATAGAAGCAATGAGATTGAAATGAATTCAAATCTACATGTGCCTGTAACATGCTGGTCAATAAATGCAATGAGCTGACATTCTCCATGAATATTATATAATGTGAAAATTACTACCTAGCAGTTCTCTGTAACGGTAGAATCCTAATTTTTCAAACAACCATGGGAAAAATTAGAATTGACCTAATTCATGCAAAGCCTTTTAAGGCTTCATTAAAAAAATTTTTAACAAATTGATGTACAAAAGAGATACACTATACATGCATCTTTTGACAAAAAAAAAAAAAAAAAAAA